GAAAATTGGAGTATTCACATCATCGTCTTACTGTTAGGACTTTGAGTATTCAACGTCGCTGTAAAATGAATTTACTATGTAAGCAGCTGTATTGTCCAAAACAATATTATTCGACTTACTAGAGGGTAAAACGTATGAGTGGAAGTTCGAAACATTGTAACAAGTATTCTAGGAAAAACTGAATATGCGTCGATTGGAGGGAGCAATGCCGGTAGGGAAGACCAGGTCAAAATAGTGGATAATTTTGCCAAAAAGAGTTTTATCTGTGAAGATTTTCGTTGAGAAAACGGATCAAAACAATTTCATCAAAATCTCCAAGAAGCTTTCGCTCCTACTTCTCCTTCTTCCTCCCTCCTCCTTTAATCTGGGCAGGACTTACTGTGACTGCTGCAGTCACACAGGCGAAAAATCTTGCCTTTTTGTTTTCGGCGTAATTCGCTGATTCAAGGCCTCACGCTAGGAAACATAGTAATGAAAACTCTGTTTCCGCAAAATTTTTCGGCTCGCACTGCTGACGGCATCTAATGAGACATCAATTTCAGCAATTAATGTAGTGCAGCTTTTTATGGTACGCTGTAATCCAACTAATTGCTTTCTGCAGAGTTCCTCATTACTGAGACGACTCTACATTGAATTAAGCAAATTCAAGACCGTCTTTTGAAATCTTCGGTCAAACTTCGCTTCGCCGCCGTTCGCCAATTTCAGGCGTTTCCGCGTTTCGGATGAGATCAAATGTCAAGCCTGAGTTGCAGGCAAATTGTTTATGCTAACGTCCTACCGCTGCAGAGTTCAATTTCCTCCTGCAAACAATTCGGTCTGAGTTTGAGTCAAAGATTGACCTGGTCTTTAGTAAAAACAATCTCGCAAAGGTAGAGGAAGAGGAAGCGGGGAGGAAACGATGTGAAAATATAGAAAATTTGTAAAATCAAACATAGAAATTTGAGTAAAACTTGTATAGAATTTCTAGTATGGCTTTTCATCACATGCTTTGCACCAAATTTAAACAAAACTAGAGCAACGAGACTAATGTATAAGTTGTTTAACTAGATACGTGATACTGCTCACTATGTGTTTTACTTTGAAAACGCACATTCGAAATGTAATATGACCTTCGCTAGAAAAACAGTCACCTTTTCCTATAAAGCATAGAGAAATTTGATATTCGAAATTGACAAAACCTTGACAAAGGAGCCGATTGGATAATATGCTGCTCGTGGTCAAGTTTGATGAAATTTGATGCACATATACCTAACCGAGACGGTTTCAGGAAGTTTCTAAAGCATAGGCGTAAGACATTTTTCATGTCCAAAAAACTCTATGAATAGCTTCCTGCTATCGGATTATTTTATTCGGCACTATATCTGTGATAAAGAGGAAATCGTGTGCTTAGTAACAGTCCACTTTCTGTTGAACATTGATTGCTAAGCTAACCATGGAAGAAGGATCACGAGTTTCGATCTTCTAGAAAGAGTCGCCAAGAATTTGAAATGCTTAATAATCGAAAATTCCAGTAATACAGGTTTGAGATTCAGTTCTGGTTATCGAGCAAACTCTAATGTGAACGATTGGAAGGAACTATGATTTTTGATGGAAATAGAGGAAAGATATTTTGCCAATTTTTGCGAATATTCGTGGTTTTTCCTAGAGCATTTAATTTCTAGAGATTTTTCTTCTGCGCTTTTTTTGGCTCTGCGATTCACTACATAAACAGTACATGCATGTATAAAGGTGTTTGACGAAGAATAGAACTGAAGAAGACCTAGAACAGTGTCGAAACAAATTCAGGTGCGTATTATCATATAAAAACTGTTTAGTTTTGTTTAGCCCACTGAACAACTCTTAGGAATTGATAGTGGAAGAAAAAATCAAGTCAGTACCTTCTGGGCGTACTAATGACAATTTATGCAGTATTGACAGAATTAGCTCTGCTTCGGTAACTTTGATGATATGAGCTAACGCTTAAGCATTATCTTAGTTAAGTCTTTCCAATCACAACCCTCGAAAGAAGTGAGACGCAGCATTGCCTAAAATGCCTTTAGCAATGGCGAAAAGAAAGGTTTGATGAATAAATTCACGCTAAAAGTGACGTTAATTGTATGTGAGGAATGACCACTTCTGCTCCACTGCACTAAGAAAGGGGAAGTGGGCATAGATATGGAAGCTGACAAAAAATGAAGTAGCTCGTGAATGGCTGAAAAATCATTCTCAGTAAAAAAGTTGTTGAAAAGGGAAAACTTTCGAAAAAATGGCAATTATGTGTAGGGCGAAATGCTGTCTAAACGGTAACAGGAAAAGTACTACGGCTTCTTGTATAGTAAAAGCAGTTTTGAGTAGTGTAAACAAAGGTAATGCCTAGAAAGTGCATTTTTTTTATGAGAACAATTTCCATGGTTTAGAAAGGAGACTCGAAGACCTCCTCAAGGCAAGAATGGGAGCAATTTGGGGAGCCAGATAATGACTGTAGAATGAGCAAATGAGAGAGTTCAGTGCCACACAGAGGGAGGAAGCGATGGTGAACAGGTTGTTGGATACGCTTGCACGGAGTACAACATTCTCGCACCCTGCATAATGCCTCCGCTGGGACTTTATCGCTGTTTAATGGGTCTTTTTATACAGCAGTAAAGAAAAGGAGCACATCCTCAACGACCTTTTCTCTACAATAAGGCAAGAAGTACCAGTGGATCAAGATGGGAGCTCCCACATGGGAGATACTGAATAAGCGAATGGGAAAGAGCATTGAGATATGTGAAAGGCTTGACAAAGATTCTTATAGGTTCGTATTTCTGTTTGACAAGCACTTCGAAAAGTCTGAACTTCCTGAAAAGGAAGTTGAGATTATAAACAACCTTCCCAGGGTTTTATGGAATTCCTACGCACACTCCTTCCCACTTCCTCCTTGTAAGTTTACTAGGCACTGTGACAATCGGGGTTAAACTGGGATGCGGGCGGTTACTTGGAAAGAGAGGGAATGCCCTCAAGAAGGGTCAAATATTCTTGATGAATTGAGAACAGATCTGCGCTGATTAAGGAAAAAATAACTTTTTTTCATCGTGCCACTATTACCCATGCTTCCCAAGAAATGCTGACGAAAATAAGCTGGTAAAACATGAGTGTCCGAATGTTATTATAACAGTTTTATAAAGTAAAAACCACCAGTACGTTACTACAGGGCTTGGCACGAGGTAGCTTTTGGAAAATGCAATAAACAAAGTCCTCCTTGACTTCCGTGAATTTTCACAAAGTTCTCCTGACCCTAAACCTTAATGTAAAAAAACCTCAAAAAACGAAACGTCGACTAAAAAAACTTCACAATTTTTGTGTCTTTTCAGCCGCAAAAACGATACCCGCTTTGCTTTTTGTCCCAGAAACAGCTTGCTTACAAGCCACTTGTGCCGAGCCCGCCTTATTTTTGCATTGCAGGGCTGGTGTAATTTCAGCAAGTAAATTTACCGATCATACCTTTTAGAAGATTCGCTACGTAAAGCAAAGAAAATTAGGCACAATTAGTTTTTTGAAAAGAGAAGAATCAGTCTAGATCAGCGAACTGTATGATTGCCCGTATTAGAGATGATATCGAAAACACACTAATTTGTAACTTGATCACTTGCCTGAAGGTAATCAAAAACATCAAAAAAAGGTGCTCGAGGTGTACACAGGGCACATGAATACTATTGTGCAGCAATTGTAGCATGACCCCTAACGAAAAATTTACTATTAGCTGTCGGAATTGAGCTAAACAGTTCAGATACTGCTTCAATGTCGTGAATTGACAAAAAGAAACGAGATTAAAAAGATGAAAAGATTCCAAATGAAAAGCAGAAAGACACTGAAGAAAAGAACCAAAGCGACTGTAGCAACGACTTCGTCCGGATTTAGAAAGTCATGTGGATGTCTAGTGATAGTATTGTGGGTATCAGTGGATACCGGTAACGAACTCTGCACTTTTCTAGTCCTTCAGCAGGAACGAGTTTTACCTGATTCTTGTTTTCTATTGGTCAAACTGCTCATATACTTTATTGAAACTTAAAAAAATGTGTCAGTTCTTATTAGGGAGGGATTTTTGAGCAGGGTTTACCTAATAGTCATTTAATCATCATCATAGGAAACTTGATCGCTTATGTGAGAATGATGAGACCTCGTGATCACTTTTTCTTCTTTAAAAAGCATGATAGAAAGAATTTGTCATTTCGAAAGTGAGTAACTATTGGTTAGCAGCAGACATGAAAAAATTGGAGGACGGCTGTGATAGCGAGAAACGAGCACGGAATTTTTTTTTTGGTTAGAAGAGATTACAGAGTATAAGTCAATTGAATGGGGAGCAGTGAATGGAGAGAATGCAAATGCATTCTGGAAGAAAATCATGCTTATTGCATGTAATTTAGAAAAATCGAAGAGACTGAGAAATTAAGAACGATCACAAAGTTGCTGACTCAGTCCATAGCAAAGCTCATTTTTCACTATATCTCATTGTATGCACTAGAGGACAGAGTAGAGGACTTTCGAATGTAACATCTCGTTTCCTCTATCTTTCAGACAAATCATGTGTAGCTTTATTCGAAAAGAGTTCTTTTCCTAAATGTTTAGATAGGCTGTGAACGCTTCTGAGTGAGAAAAACATACCATTGTAACCACAACTCTGGTTCAGAGCCCTTCGACAACAAGTTTAGTGCAAAATGACGGAGATCATAAGGACAATTTTCAAAAGAAAAATTTTAGAAAGTAGTCCTCATCTCCGGCTTTTGCCCCGTCGAAAATGAAAATTTGCCTTTACACGAAAGAATTCTCAGATAACAACAAAACAATTGGTCTCATTGTCTCGTGGCTTCAATCTCTTGATATTTAGACAAACTACATGCCCTGGCCTGATCATTCGCCTCAAAGCAGTGACTTTTTGCGTAGGATCGCAAACTGAGCAGCTGAAGATATCGAATGTCACCGCATGCTCTTAACCGCATGCTAATGAAACTTCTAGATATCACAAAACTCTGAAGCCAACTTACGTTTTCCATTCGGGAGTCTTCTCTGGGAATGCACTCGTATGGGTAAATAGCGCCTTATAGGAGCATCACTGCTCCAAGCAGGGCAATTATAAGCAGTTCGCATAAGTCTTGATCAGTTTGTAAGTATTTTGATCGTGTAGAGAATTTGTTGTACTGTGACCCGGGCCGCAGCTGACCTCTGTTTAGGGGGTAGAAGCGGGTGAACGGGTTGTGCTGAGCTGAGAGGTGAGTCGGTTGAGTAGGCGCTTACACTTTCGACTGGAGATTGACGCGACGACAATGTAGCTGGCCGGGTGTAATATCACCCAAGCTTTGCATATCACAACAACTGATAGAGCAAGGTTGTCCTCTAGGGTCTACATGTTCTTGAGTACAACACAGTTACATACTACCAGAAGGATTTTACCCATTCAATCACAGTTTGGCAACAAAATCGCGAGAAAAGGTAGTAGAGGAAATAGTAGACTGAAAAAGAGGAAAGAGCAAGTGTCGATTTGAGAGCAAGGTTTTTTAGAAATTAATCAAAAAATGTTCGAATTGAGTCGCGCAAACGGTTACCTTCACTACAGTAGCTCAAACAAGCTGCTCAAAACATATAAGCAGACGTATATGTAAGAAAATCCTAAAAAGAGAAGTCATCCCAGCATAGTTTTAACTTTCAGGAAATTCAAGCCATGGCACACCTTGTGTGTCACATGTGTTAATATCGAGTAAGAAGAGTGAATAGTGCCTGTTTGGCTGCATAAAATAATTTAAAAAATCCTAAATTCTTACAAGGATCAGCCTTGTCATAATATATAAAAGTTACAAATATAATGCGGACATAGTACAAAATCATAAAGTTATACATTCCCATAATTATTATCGAACTGTGTTGACAACTCGGGAGTTCCCTCTTGAGAGGCAAATCCTCTACTATACCCAAGCGCATTTTCATAGGGTGGGGGGGGGGAGGGGAATAGAAACTCCTTCAGTTGAAATGAGCACATTTTTGAAAACAAATTTTGAATGTTCTCAAGTCCCAGTGGGTTTGTAAACCCAATCCAAAGCAGAAGGTTCCCCACCAGGTTTTTCTTATAGAGCTTAAAAGTTTTGTGAAAAAAAGTTCATCCATTCATTACAAGTAAAAAGTCAGTTTTACTGCTTAATTTCATGTCGACCAAATTCGAACATTACAACCCATCCCCGATGAAAGAGGCGGAGGCCCTTCCAAAGCTACAATAAATGGGACGTAAATTTTTGTTGTTATAATCGCCCCCACTCTAAAAATGAAACACCCGGAAATAGCTCCAAACACAGAAAATAATTTGCAGGAATTTCAGATGAGCCAAATATGTAAATTTTCATGACAGAAGAATTGCTATGATGACTGACAGCTCTGCAGAACGATATATGCAAAATTTTGCCACGTGAGCCATAAAAAATAGCCAGCTGTCGAGCATTGTGCGACTGCACAGCTAGAGCTTGACTCCTTTGTAAAATTTGCAAAGATGTTTGTGTTGGCAAGCCGTGGAAGCAGCAATTACGGTTACACTCAAATGCTTGTTCCCGATGCATTTACATATCAGATGCAATAGATTTTACAAGGTGCTATGCGACAGGCACATAAAGTGCTTATTGTTCTTCAGAAAGGGCAAAGTTAGTATTCTTTTCCTAATGCGAAAAGCTTCTGCTGATCAATCTTTGCATTACATTCCAACATAGTTCTTTAAGATATTGAATGAGAAGATATTTTGTGCAATGAACAACTTAGTAAAACAATAAGAATATTACTATCTTTAAAATCAAATCTTCTAGCAGCAACTATCACAATTTGAAGGATGTGCACATCCTCCAAAAAATCTTATCAAGAGTTGAGATCCCCCTTCGAAAAATGTGTTAAAAATGAGGAGATTACACAAGGTATGGGTTTAGACTTCCTTTGACAATTACTCAAATAAAAAATCAAGGAATTACTGTATTAATATTTCGGAACCTGTAGTTATAAATGATAAGGAGCAGAGTGCAAAAATCAACACACCGCCTTTTTCCCCCAACTTTCGTAGGAGCGAACGTGTTCAGCCGCAAATCCCTAAGGCCCCGGACAGACTCCACGCGATTTGATCGTCGCGACTGAATCGCGACGAGACAACTGTTACAACATCATTCCATGCCGATCAACTTACACTTCGGTTGTGATACTTTTCCAGGCCGAAATTTTTGAATGTGAAATGAAAATGAATGGAAATGTCGGCGATTGAGTCGCGACGATCAAATCGCGTGAAGTCTGTCCGGGGCCTAATAGTTCCAATTCCACTATTTCGCTGTTTTCGTTTAACAACGTATTCATCAGTAGGTGCATGATATATATTTCTCACAAGTGAAATTGAAGAACTGTTGAGAATAATAAACAAGATTACGATAAACAAGTAAGTATGCAGTATGACAGAAACTTTTATCAAGTACTTTCACAAGGACAAGGACAGAAAGTGACATATGTCACAACAATCATCCCTGGAGAAACTAATACCTACAAGTAGTTCTTTACCTCATGCGCAAAGCGTGAATCCCAACAGGACGTACTATCTGGTTTTGAAGCATTATCAAAAACTTGTAATCCGTCTTGAGTGTATTCACGTTGAGGATGAACGAGTTTATTATAAAAGCATTTTTCCCTAGGCATCTGAAAGCTAGATCTAACAATAAGAAGACTTTCTATACGATATGTCACGAATAATAGAAGTGTAGCCTTTCTTTGTAAAGAAAATTGCCGACGACATTGTACAAAATGCTGAACCAGTGCTTTGCTTTCAAAGAAAATGTCATGGAACTGCAAGCGCAAAATAAAAACACCTAGTAGCTCTGCAAGCAAGTAGTGTAATTTAAGATGAATGTCAGTTCTAAATGAACGCTGAAATCAAATCTGACATGGAAAATGAAGCAAAGATTGGCGTACATCGAAAGCAATTACATCAGCAGATTTTCAAACAGAAACAAACTCAAAACCATTTCTGAAAAGGATTGAAGTAAAAGCGCGACATCTTACTTTCGATGAAAACTTGTCCGAGTTTCTTGCGCAAATTAGTGGTAGGGTAATTTAGAGATAAATAAAGGATAATGGTGAGATGCGGATTGAAGTTAGAGAATATGTCAGCTCAAGAGATTTTCGAGAGAAGATCATGATAGTATGTGAAATCGTGTCATAGACAGTAACAACAGCAAAGGTCCGCATACGACATTTCCAGTATCTGAAAACAAATCTTTGTTGAAAGCTTGCAGATGGTCATTTCGAGTTAAAGCTGAAAGACGACGAGATGCCAATGATCACAAACAAAACCACAATCGATTTCGAAAAAGTGCAGGATGCGTAGATGATATAATGAGTGACATAAAAGTGCTTTCAGATGACAGGTATGCACTACTCAAGGAAAAGGTGTAAATAATCTGTCTATAAAGTGCGCGTGAAAGGTGCGAACGCTACAAAAATTTTTGAAGGTTCAAACACAAGTATGCACTTACTGTTAGAGAAATTTTCTTAGTTTGAAACTTAGTTTCGGAACAAAGTAATCTCGGGTCGGTTGGTTTTCCTCGAATCTCCAATTCTTCAATGCCAGACATTAAGTCATGAATTAAATACGATTAGAGTGTGAACACACTGAATAAGCAGTGTATTTATGGTAGTTACTTGGATTCAAAGAGAAGAAAAGCTCATTCTATGAACGATAAACCAGTGATAGTGTGCAAATACAGTTGTGAATCATTCAAATAAAACTGGGATATTCATCTTTACTATAATACTTCGCAATAAAGCTGCCCTCGGGATCTTGCATGATCATGACTGTGTTGCTGGCCTTACGCTGTACTCAGTTCATGAACTCGGTTTGTCGACACTGCTTTCAGACGCCAAACCGCTGAAAGCAATTTTGAAAATAAACTTATACATATATCCCCATGATCGATCTTTCGAATGTGAAAATCGAGAAGATCAATCGAGGCTACGTATCTGTTGTCTGCATAGGCTGCATTTATTTTTATCCACTAGTTTGTTTTTTAAAACAGGGGAACATTTTTTAGATAGTAAGAGAAAAAAATATAGTGTAATTATTAGAAAGAAAAGGTGGGGACCTATTTGAACTTGTCAAACTTTTCTGATAATTATGAAAAGTAGTTTGGCAGTGAAACGAGAGCACATAACAAATAAAGGCGATGTGGTTGGATTATTATAGGAGGTCAATCAAAATTATGAAAAAGGTATGCGCGATACTAGCTAGCTCCAACTATCCCAAAAACATATCTTCCACGGTTCTAATAAACTTCAAAGATTAAGGCTATAATCTGCCCTGAATTATGCGCCACTGGCGTGCAAGAATTTTACGCTGCTTAGCTTAGTTTTCTGAGGTAAAAAAGCTTTTTGTGGATATTTTGAATGAGCTCGACAAGCAAGACGCGGGGGAGCCGTGCACTTTTTTTCCTTCTGGACGGAAAGCTACAGAAAATTTTTCAGAATGAAGTACGTAGAGCTAACCACACTCTCTGAACGTTTTTGTTTTATAAATTCATGGGGATTTTCAATGAAACACAAATCACGATATGCGCAAAGAAACTTGGCTAAAAAATTAGCATGCAAGCACTTCTCCTAGAACGAAAACCAGTAAGTTGCACAAGTGCTTCAGAGCAGTTGTTGCCTTGAGATGAGTGACAGTTCATGCTGTTGTGGTTCGAAAAGTCCTCTTGGAACGATATGCGAACCTTGTTTTTCCACTCTTCTTTCCCAGAACGCGGCAAACAGGCGCCACCTGCGGTGTCTTATAGCAAAGCTTGAATTACCTTTTGGTTTGGGTAAAGTGATCAGGAGAGAGGGAAGGGCTTCGAGACGATAAACCTTGTGATAGGAGTGAAAAGGAGAGAGATAATGAAAGAGAAAGTTGACAATGTTCAAACACCAACTTTCTACTGTAAGGTTGCCTAAAAAATAATTTCGCCGTTCTTAACGGTTTGTAGAAATGTCAAAGATATTATAGATTAGTGTATAAGCGTATGGCACCACTTGAAAGAGTAAATCAAGGAAAACCGGATGGTTAACTTTGTTTGCTCAAAGAACATTTTTTTCATAGCGAAATGGTG